TAGTTATTGATTCGGTTATTTCTCTTTTCATCTCTGAGAATTTGGTTGATGAATTTCAAGGTTCTTTCGCTGGGCACATCCATGTGTATTGTGGTTATGGGTTCCTGGTTTACTGATCCCTTGAGCGTTGTGTGATGCCCATTCTTACCTCCCGTTGTGTCATGCACCTTGAGGCCTTTTTTGTCTGAGATGAGTATCGCCACCCTTCTTTGTTTGGATCGTCACTTGCTTGGTAAATTTTTCACCATCCCTTGACTATCAGTCAATTTTTGTCTGTGAGTCTGAGATGTGTCTCTTGAAGGCAGAAGACTGCTGGATTTTGTTGTCTAATCCAGTCTGCTATTTTTCTCTTTTAATTGATGCACTCAGACTACTTATTGATATTCAGCATAATTAGGTCTTTAGATTGGTTACTGCCATCTCATACTATCTGTGTTTTGCATCTTCCTTTCTTCTGCTTTATAGGATGGTGCGAGTGTGTGAGGAGTTTATGCTTGTCTTTGTGTCTCCGTTGGGTCTGTGATGGGGTACTGTATTCAGTGTGCTGGTTTCTGGGTGGTGTTACACCGGGTCGTGGCCCCATGTTTGTGTCCTGTGGTTTTTGCTTTCCTGCCTGTTTCGTTTTCACAAATTCTTGAAATGTTTCCTCATCAGAGAAAATGTTAATACCTCCTTCAAGTGTGCTGGAGATCTTTGCTGGACAGAGCACCGTGGAGCAGTGGTGCCCCTTCAGCTTCCAGAACATGCTGCTCCAGTTCCTTCTTCCCTGCGTGGTCTCTGCGGGGAGGTGTGAGCGTATTTCTACCTGTTTGCCTCTAAAGTGCCTGCCTTTTTCCCCCAGCTCTCAGGGTTTTCTCCTTTTCTTTGAAATTGGATAGTTTGACCACTCGATGTCCTGACATATCTTCTTGGAGGTTTAATCGAACTGGTGTTCTCTCTGTGTCCTGAATGGTTATTGTCTCCTCCTTTGTGACACTGGGGCATTTGCTTCCAAGAATCCCCTGACAATTGTAACTGTTGGATTATTTCTACCCTCCTGCTCCAGGACTCCATAATTCTAATCTTGTTTTCCTTCATGGAACCCCACATCCTCCTCAGACTTCCTTCAGATTCTTTTGCTGTTTTGCTTGACAGTTTCTCTCGTTTGCTGAATTCTGCCTGGTTATATTCAATCTTGCTGAATCGGTTCTCCATGGCTGCCATTCTGTTACCAATGTCTTTCGTCTGTTTGTCTATTTCTGCTATGTTATTCCTTAACTCCTGGACTTTCCTTTGGTGTGAGGATTCCAGTATCTCTATTTTTTCATTTGTTTTCAGGATTGATCCCATCAATTCCTGAATGGCACTAAGTGATAAATAAAGAATGGATTAAAGGGGAAAACAAAAGAGCAAATGTTAACCTAATTATATCTGTAATAATTCACTTTCTGACCTACGATGTGTGTGGGCAGGACTTTGGGAATCCCCAGTCAATGGTTGAAGGGTATCCGATGGAGGCTTATTCCCCATGGGGTTTCTGCAAATGGATTGTGGACTTTCACTGTGATTCACAGCTTCTGCCAACTGGATGACCAGAATTTAAGCTCTAATACATTTCCCTTCTCAGATCTTGCATTTTATTCTTTACAAGCGGATCCCACAAGCTGATGCTCTTCTTCTCTGTGGGCTTAGCTGCCACCTCACCTAGATGAGCACTGGTTTAAAATAAGCTATTGA